GCTGCTCCCCGTCCGTGTCCCCGCGGGGGGGGCGAACGCGCCGGGGCACCGCGATGTCCCCCGGCAGCCTTTCCGGGCACACCTTGGTCTGCCCCGGTGTGGAGCAGCGCTGTTCCTTCAGAACCCGTGTTATCTCAGAAGGGCTCAGACAGTAACCAAAATCTGTCTTTCCATCACAAAATGCAAACTGGGCTCGTGTCAAATCGTGCAGGAGCCTTGGCTCTGGGGTGCTTGTTCTGTTTGGTGATGAGGTGAGAAATGTTGCTTTTCCCCTTCCTGAACAAGGTGCTGTGAGCATTAAAAATCTTGTGTTGTGTTTTGCTTAACCTGTTTTACTTTCTCGTTCTTGTGGACTAGAACCAGTTTTCATCTTCACAAGTGGTGATGGGACTGTCTTGCAAACGCCTTTCTTCGTAATTGATATTTTTCCTATTTTAAGTTATCTGTGGTTTTTAAACCCACGAGAAACAGCTGTGTTGGTTTCAATAGGATGCGTTGAATTAGTGTATTGCAATAATTGGAACTTATTTAAAAGATTAAATAATTACTTTTAAATGATGCTTTAAGTCTGAAATCTTCATCATAGCCCAAAGTGCAACTCTTTAAAGGTCCCAAAGTAGTACATTTTCTTTCTTTTCTATTACCCTTTGCTCTCTGTCCTGCTTATGTCTTAGTTTAGGCCAGAATAGGTAGGTTCAAATAACGATGTAAACTGGTGGGTTTATCACTTCAGATGTTTAATTACACGAAGTTCAACAACTTTCCTCTAAATTCCACTGCCCTCTACTGGCTGCACCAGCGGGGCCACCTGCCCGCTGCTCTTCCCTCTCACTGTTTTTTAATCTTTTTTTGCTTGTTTATTGAGGTTTGGGGCGGGTTTTAAGCTCTTTTTTAAGGTCAGAAACCCTGGAAAAGCACGCTGTTAAAATCTGCTACAGCGGGATCTTTACAAGGTAGAGGAGGTTGCAGGCAGGATGATCTCCCTAAGGAGCCCTCAACTTCAGATTTCAATCTTCTCCTTGATCCAAAATAACCTTGCTGGGCTGATCTCGGAGTCACACAGCAAAGTCTAATTTCCAAAGGCATGAAGGGAAAACAGGATATGTTGGATTTGAATTTTCAGCACTGAAAGTCTATAGACATGGTTGGAATATTGCTTTGACTTGCTTTTCTCAGTTCCTGGATTTTGGAGGAAATGCTGGGTTACTGTTTGTTTTTAAATATAATATTGTTGTAAATATTTTTGTAAATAAGATTATATAAAATATATTTATAAATACTCTTATATTTATGTGTTATATTTCCACCCTTAGATATTTAATCGTTTTCTCCTTTTCCCATTTATGCTGCTCCATGTTCTCCTTATGAACAAGTACTTGTACTTGAGTATTTGAATAATCTCATCTGCCTGAACAGATTTTTTTGCGTGGGTGAAATCAGATGGAGGATTAAGGATTTGAGAGGGAATATGAGAGTTCAACACATCTTTGATTAATAAGTTGTTCAAATGAAACTTTCAGCTGTTTCTTTTTTATAAGCCTGTGAACCTTCATCACTGCAGTCGTGATGCATCCAGTGCTCTTCCCTCTCCAGGACTGCTGTCCCTGAAGCCACTCTTTCATCCTGCTGAGTCCAGCACAAGAGCTTAAGTTATTTTTATCCTTTCCTGGTGCCATGAAATGGAACATTTTCATTTCGGGCGAGCGTGTCCCTTCCCTGTGCCATGGCAGCAGTGGGCGCGGAGGATCCCGAGTTTTTGTGCTGCTCCGACGAGCTCGGCGTCTGTTTCAGCAGAGGGCAGCACATGGAGACACCAAATAATTGCGTTTCACTTGACCTTTACAGTGACTCAGTCTTTCTCCCACACTTCAGGATTCTTCCAGACAGGATAACCCTTGGAAATAATGCGGGGTTTGTCTGAAATCCTGGGTTTGCATTTGTCTTAGCTGCAGAGTTCCCAGGCTTTGAACAGGCTCTAAGCTGTCATTTTTGGCATTGCTAGTAAAAAAATTTAAAGTAAGTTTTCACAGTGCTCAACGTTATTTTGTCAAACTGCCAGTTCCAGAGCCTTTTCTGAAGTGGGCAGCAAGTGGATGAAATTGGAAGTCCACAAGAATTAGATCAGATCCAGCCTCTTTCGTTCGTTCCTACCTGTGGGCACCTTTTTTCCCCTTACCAGGACTGTGATAATGGAGGGGAATGAGAGGAAAAGGGGGCAAATTGATGGATGTTTTGAGGGGGAAAAAGGAAAAGCTTTCAATCACCACAAGCAGAAGAAAGTGTGGCTGTTTTTCAGGTGATCCCACTGCCAACCTCACTTCTTGTGTAGCAAAGATGTTTCCAGTGGCTACAAAAGGAAGGGTGCTGGGTCCTGCTGGGCTTCATTTCCATCCTATACATTAAACATGATCCTTTCCTGCTTCTCATCCAGGTTGTGAATGTAGTATTTTATCTTTTTTCTTTAAGAGATTTTAGATTTTAAAACCCATTGGAGGAGTGTTTTGTGAAATATATTAAATTCAGTGAAAGAAAACTGGTTTAGCTTCTGTACTTCCCTTTGCTTTTGAGTTTAACCAATTTATTTGTTTGAGAGTGCAGTTATTTTTTTCTTCTGAGGCAGCAAGGCTTTCAGTGTTGGAGGATACTGTCACTACCATGGCAAACAGCTAAAGTACTGAAAAAAAGGTTAGATTGCAGCTAAATGGCAGGTATATGGGAGTTAAAAGGCATTCTGAGTCACAGATTTTTTTTATTTATTTTTTTTTCTTTAGGTCAATATAAAATAGACTGCAGAGAGAGGTCTTTCAATAAAATGTCCTTTTAGGATCAGCAGACTTGTTCCTTGTGACTGTGTTCTGTAGCTCAGAGAGGAGGAACAGGATGTGGCTTTTTGAGATGAGTGTTTGATCCTGTCTGCTCTCTTTTAACGTTTGAGCTCTCAAAGTGTTCGTCCCTTTTGAAAGTGAGGTGGTTTCTTTGTGTTTGTTCCACTTCAGCAAGTTACTCCTTCTCCTGTTCACAGTTTCCCTAATATTACACATGACTTTTGTTTTCACCTATGAAATTTGAAATGCACTTGTGTGGTCTAAAAAAAGCTCTGTGTAAAGTTTCGGGCATCATCATCTCCCAGGGATTTAAGCTGTTGCTATAGAAGCCTAAATTCTCTTTGAGAGACCTTTCCATTATAAAGAAGTTGATACTGCAGGAAAGTTGTCATGGAAATATGCAGCAAAAAGAGAAAGGAAATCTCAATTTGATGACTGTTACACAGGCTCAGCCAAGTTGAGGTGGCTTCATATCTGGAGATCTGAATCTGCAGATTCCCTTCGTTGCATTCCAGTGGGCTGGAACTACAGAACTAGAACCCACAGAAATAAATGATTTAACACTTGTATAACCAAACACACCTCTTCAACTTGGTCAGCTTTGTCCAGATTCAGGTTTTCTCACTGCATAATAATGTCTAAAAAGGAGTGTGGCGCTAATCCTTGGGCTACTTAACCCTCCAGGTGGAAGGCAGGGTCCCTTTGGACCTGACTTTGGGGCTTTGTTTTGGGTGTCAGGACATTAGGGTGGGCACAGAGAGCAGCATTCTCTGCAGCCAGCCTGGTTTCCCTGCTGGAGGAAACCCCTTCAGG